TTTGAGGTCAGGGATGGTGATGCCTCCAAAGGTTGCTTTATCATATAGGATTCTTTTAGCTATCCTGGGTCTTTTGTTTTTCCATATGAAGTTGAGTATTTTTCTTTCCAAGTCTGTGAAGAATTGTGTTGGGATTTTGATGGAGATTGCATTGAATCTGTAGATTGCTTTTGGTAAGATTGCCATTTTTGATAATAAATTATTATAGGGTGATTAATAAAGCAGAAAGTACACACCATGGTGTTTAATCACTGGGGAGTAATAACTGTGCCTGTTGGGGTGTATCTGCCCAGAGAATTCTTAGGCAGATGTTTACAGCAGACTCTAGACACAAGCTGAGGACAAGAGAAATGTGTGTGTGTGTGTGTGTGTGTGTGTGTGTGTGTGTGTGTGTGTGTGTGTTTCACTGTTCTCTATACCAGCTGAAATCCTCATCCTGTCCTTCTCGTAGCTTCAAAGCATGCCTTACTAGGCAAAGCTCAACTCTACGTAACGGTCAACCAAGTCCCACGGGACATGTCCTGTCAGGTGCGACCCCACAGTGGTATAGAGGCACATACCATCTTCAGTGTCTTCTGCATGTCAGGGAAACCGGTATGTGAGAACCCTTGTCTGTCCTGGGGGGTGCGGGCAACCACAGCTCTTGGAAAGCACAAGAATTCTTTGCATGGTGGGTTGTAGGGCTGGCCCTGCCCTGCAAGGTAGAAAAGTTGTTCCTGCATGAATGGTGGGAGGGGCTTCTCCTACTAGTAAGAACAACCTTTTCATTAGAAGGAGAGGATTCTTGAAGGGCTTCGCCACAAAGTCAGGAGGCTCTGTTACCTATGGGCATAAAAGTAGGAGGTGGGGGACTCAGCCTGAGGCCTAACTCCATCACCAGAGCATGTCTCTGACCTACACTCGACCTCTTTGTCCTAATTTGGACAATGTAGAAGTCATTCTACATTTTTGAATAGGATCTTGTGAGGATCTGAGGAGAAAGGGTCATGATTTACAGGTTGAGAATCACTGTGCTAGGGGATCCAAAGACAAGAGAGCCAGCTGATTCAAGTGTAGAATCCTGCTTCATGTCAGAAGCCCTTTGGCTTAAGAGCAGATGAGTCCTACAGAGCCAGGAGGCCTCTCCCGTCTATGTGTACTGAGAATGATGAAAGCACATTAGTCTGGGCTGCAGAACATAACCAACAGTGGCCATGAGGGTGGAGTTGTGTGGAATTGGTTGGTGATTCCATCCACAGTATGTTCAGGTTCCTATTTTTCTACTCCCATGGATTGGATCATAGGACTTTCATTACGAATTTCGTTACCGGATAGGAAACACTTCTCCACACACCCTGTACCGTGGACGAGATACCCAGTACTACTTTTTATTGCCAGCTGGTGAGGCCTCAGACGATTACAAAGGTAAGTCACAGCGTCAACCATGGGACTAGGTATGTCTACTTATCCCTCCAAACATTTTATCCTAGTTTCTAAAAACTACAAAGTATTAGAGGGGCTAGAAATTAAAATCATTTATCTACCTCAGTAAATTTAGGCCTTTAACCTGTCTTTTAATACAGAAAGAATATTAGAAACATCATTTGCAAATTGGGCTTTTCATATCTTCAATTTCAATCAAAATACAGATAATAAATATCAAAACTCTTATGTGTGATTAATATATGCAAGAATAGGATATCCCCATTTATAAAGTAAATAGCTCATATCTTCTAAAGTTTGAATTTATTATCATTGAAAACAAATTAAGGCACTCCCTCCAAAAAATCAAATGTGGGGAAAGACTGTTGAGTGAGCAAGTGGCGATCTCTCTAATTAGCCTCCCATTACAAACCCCTGACGTCAATGAGCATTTAAATTTCCTCTCTGTGTTCTCTTTGATAGAGTGTCCTTCATGAACAGAAGACCTCTCACTAGGTCCTGTTTCTCAAAGGTTCAACTAACTTACAACAGTACTAAGGCTTAATACATGGGCCTCTGGGTGATGTTGCAGATCCAAACTACAGAAATCTCAATCCAAATGAAGCCTGTGGTTCTAATAGCTTTCTATCTCAGGCACTATCCCTTAGATCCCGACTAATTCCAATCCTGCACACAAGGCCTGGTGTCACCTGATGTGACCATTTGACAAAGTGTCCGATTTCACACAACCCAGTCTGGTTAACTGGGAATGAGCTATATTTTACTTTTACTTTTGAACTTCTATATGATTCCATTGTATAGGCATGAATGAAAGTCAGCAATGTAGAAGTTTCTTCAATTTGAGACAGTAAGATGATTTCAGCCCAAAGTCTGAACTGGTCCATCTAACTGATGTGCTTGAATCTCCCATCTCCTTTTAAGTCAAAAAAGTATTTTCTTGCTGACACCTTTCCTGTCTCCTCCAAACTTTCCCTCACTCCCAGATTCAAGTCACACCAAGCAAACTTCTCTGAGCTTTGTGATCATGTTCTGATTAGCATGATGATGGTTTTATATTTGCATCTGAGCTCGAGTTCTCCTAAGGCCAAGCAAACAGACTCTCCAGCACAGTAGGCATTACTGAATAGATGAAGGTGGTGTTCATGGATCTTCCATCCACAAATCTTTAAATACTAAAATTGCATTCTCCTGCCTTCTGGAAATTTTTCTCATAATGACTGCTCAGGCCAAGCACCCTCACTTCTTGGTGGTGGTCAGAGGCCCATCCTAAGAGCTGAGTCAAAATTGCACTTGCCTTGATGAAGATGTTCAACTAAGTAAGTTTGCCTCTTATGGTGCAGGTTACATTAACACCTGACATGTTCCTTACCTGAGAGCTTCATGTAGGAGCATGAGAACCTCTTTCCACCAGACAACCATAGTCCACAGAGCTAGACAGACATCTAAATAGAAGATCTTGAGTCAGGAACTCATCATCATGTTGAAATGAAGAATGTCTTGGCATAAATCTATAGTACCAAATCTTAGGTCACAGGCCTGGGGCAGTGTCATTTGTTGCTCAAATCCTTCATATGTGTGATAAGTACTGGTAGTTGTTACAGTAGATCCCAGTGACTATCTGAATTCATAAATTACAACAGGATAAACATGAGCAATTAAGTAAAATAAATGAAGTAGAGTGGCTGTTTAATGTTGCTTATCTTGTCCCATCTTTTGTATGAGTTATCACATCAAATTAAATTAAGTCATATCTAACACCCACTCCTCTGCCATCCTCTCTCTTGATTCATAGTACATTATCTTCAGTGGGGCACTGAGGAGCTCGTACAGTAACTACTGGCTCAGAATCTTGCAGGAAGATAGAGCCTAGAATTTGGGCTTCTCAGTGATTGGGATACACATATCCAGGACCCATGCCCTAAGAAGGACTGATGTCCAAGTGAAGTCTCCAACCTTTAGTACTGGGTTTCAAGTTGAGTCTACTATATAGATACCCAGGGTTCACATGTGTGCTGATCTTCCTGTGTGGTACACACAACTGTACCTGTGACCATCACCCAAACCCCAATGTCACTAGCACATCTCATCACACCTTTGGACCTTTGTTACAGGAAGGAATTCCTAGGTCCACCAAGTAGCCATTTCTTGCTAGATACATACAGATGTTTGAATACAAATCTCCCCTCAGAATTCTTCTTTACCCTTGCCTGTTAAATCTGCCTCCATCATTTAGGAAGTAGTTAAAATGTGACACTAACCCTGGACCATCCATTGCAGAGTCAGGATTATACTCCCCATGACCCTGGTACCCCATTTCAGCACTCCTTATGTATTCGATGGACAGGAACACTCTGGAGGGCAGAAAAGGTCTTACCTACCATGACTTTGTGAATGGATGATGACTTACCCCCACCTCCTGCTGCACACAGTGACGGCATCTGCCTGTTTGCCCTCTGTGACACTCCCTGTTTCCCTGTCTGATGAGCATTCACTGACCTTACTTGGGTGTTCAGATCTTAGGTTGGGTGGTGACATCTCCCCAGAAGGACAGAAGAATCTTGAGGTCTTTTCTCATACCATGCCTTGTGTTTGAATTCCTAGTAAACAAGCCATTACCATGGGGCAGCACTGATGGCTAAGTGGTTAAGAGCATGCATGACTCTTGAAGCCTGAGTTTGATTCTCAGCACCTGGGCCAGGTGGCTCACAACTACCTGTAGCCCCAGCTCGGGGGAATCTAGTACACTCTTCTAGCCTCCAAGAGCACCTGCATTCACATGCACATACCTTGACACTATAACTCATAGTTTTGCTTAACATACATTCTATTTACAGATTTGTTGGTATCCTCAGTGTGTCTAATGTGGGAGGGAACAGCTCACCTTAGGTTTGCCAGCATCCCACCCCCTGTCACCATCACCCACACTATCTCTTGGATGACCCTCCTCTGTCATATTCCTTCACAGTCTTTGTTTCTACTGAGATCACAGATGGCCAAGGCTCCAAGGTGCAACCATGCACTGTGGAAGTGACTGTGCTACCCCGTTACCATGGAAATGACTGCCCTGACAAGGACCTGTAAGTAATAGGATGCAACAAAGACACCCTACAGCATAGCTTATTTTCCCTGGGGAGATGGCAAAGAGCCACTGAAAGAGCAATGGTAATTGCTTTTCTCATGCTGGGCAAAAGCCAGGGTTTCCCAGGCGTGGCCTGTTAAACACCATTTGCACGGCACTGGGCACATGCTTCAGGGTCCATGAGGCTCTTTCTTTTCTTTTTAAAACATGTTTTTAAGATTTTTTTTATTTATGCATCTTTGGGAGGGTAGTGGGAGTTGGGGTTTCTCACATGTGTGGGTGCCTAAAGAGCCCCAGAGAAGACATTGGACCCCTGAAGCTGGAGTAGAGACCATTATGAGCCACCTTACATAGGTTCTGGAAACTGAATTTGGGTCTCCTGGAAGAGCAGCAAATGGTCTTAACCACTATCCATCCTTTTAAACCATTTGAGGTATCATTTATACATTATATAGCTTACCTATTGAAATTCCTCACACTTCCAGAACACTGTTGCCTTTAGCACAGTCTAGTTTAGGAACATTTGGTCATCATAACATCTTGGAACTAAACAGTAGTCACTCCAGAATCATCAACCCTAACACCTACTTCCCAACCCCCCAAAACCAACATATGTGTGTCTAAAGATTTACATGTTCTAGAAACTTTGTGGCAATAGGATGATGAAAATTATACTCTTGAGTTCTTTATTTAACACATGAATATTTATGAGTTTCATCCATGATATGGCATAAATCAGTACCTCATTTTCTAATTAGTCAATAATATTTATTGTATTGCCTCAATTTGTTTACTCCTTGAACAGGTGATATCGTCTAGTTTTTCTGTCTGTAAGTTAGGTTCTTCTGAAGATTCTTCTGCGAGCTTTGGCATGGGTGAGCATTTTCATTTCTCAAGGGTAGAATCACTAGGTCATATGATAGCACTTGCTTAGCACTTCTGAGGAGCTGCACCATTTGGTATTCCCACCAGCACTGGCTGAGGCGAGTCATTTTCTCTGTGCTAACTGGGCTGGGGTTAGTTTTTGTATCAACTTAACGCAAACTAAAGTCATCTGGGAAGACAAAACCTCGAGAGGATGTCTCCATCAAAATGTAGACAAGCCTGTGGGGCATTCTCATGTTTAATGTTTGATGTGGGAAGGCCCAGCCTACTGGGGGTGGTGCCTCACCCCTACCCTGGGCAGGTGGTCTTGGGTTATATAAGAAAGCAGACTGAGCAAGCCATGGGGAACAAGCCAGTGAACAGTGTTCTTCCTCGGCCTCTGCTTCAGTTCCTGATTCCAGGTTCCTGCCTTGAGTTCCTGCCCTGAATTTCCTCTATAAAAGACTGTGACATGGAAGTTGTCAGGTGAAATAAACCCTTTCCTCCCCAAGTTGTTTTTGTTTTATCATAGCAGCAGAAAGAAAACTGGGACAGACCATAAACACTAAGGTGTATTTCTTTTTGTTGTTTTTAGTTCATGTGTTTTTTAATTACATAGAAGTCTTTTTTTAAGAATTTTTTTAAAATTCATTTTACATAGCCACTACAGATCCACCTCTCATCCCTCCTCCCGGTCCCCCATCTTCCTCATTCTGCCCCACCCCTCACCCGCTCCTCCAAAAGGGTAAGGCCTCCCATGGGAAGTCAGCAAAGCCTGGCACAAACCCCTCCCCACTGCATGAAGGCTGTGCAAGGTTTCCCACCATAGGTAATAGTCTTCAAAAAGCCAGCTCATGCACCAGGGATAGATCCTGATCCTACTGCCAGAGGCCCCTCAAACAGACCAAGCTACACAACTGTCTCCCGTATGCAGAGAGCCTACTTGGTCCCGGGCAGGTTCCATAGCTGTCAGTCTAAAGTCCATGAGTTCCTATGAGCTTGGTTCAGTTGTCTCTGTAGATTTCACCATCAGGATCTTGACCCTCCTTGCTCATATAATCCCCCTTCCCTCTCTTTGACTGGACTCCCGCATTTCTTGACTCTCACTCCATGCCATGGCAAGCATCTGTAGGCCAGAGGACAACTGTGTAGAAACTGTTCTTTCCACCTCAGTCTAGGTTCAGAGGATCAAACTCAGGTTGTCAGGCTTGCATAGATAGTATCTTTACCTGCTGAGCCATCTCTCTGGTCTCAAAATTATTTTGTGATTATTTTAAAAATTTATTCTTCGGGAACTGGAAACATGGCTCAGCAGTTAAGAGTTCTTGTAGCTCTGGCAAAGGACTGGGGTTTTATTTCCAGCCCCCACATGTTGGCTCACAACCATCTATAACTGTGGTTACAGGTGATCTAATGCCCTCTTCTGACCTTGAAAGGCACCAGGCATGCACATGGTACACAGACACACATGTAGGCAAAATACTCATATGCATAAAATAAATAATAGATAAATTTACTTGTTCTTTATTATGTTCATACGTAATGTGTTTGATCATATTTATCTTGAGTCTTATAGACCTTGTTGATCTCTTGCTGTTATTCTGTCCATTACTGATAGCATTATTACCTTTGAAGTCTTTCCTTTCCCTTCAGCGCCATCAGTTTTATTTTTTTCTTGTTAGATTCCCTGTGTATTCATAACTTTGTAGAATTACACAGTGTTAAGTATTTGGACAACTGTGAACACATTATAGTGTGATAATGTAGTCTCTGTTTAACAATGCATTGTGAACATTTGTGCATTAGGTTTTTAAGTTTTTAATTTTTTTGTTTTTGAGGATTTCATATTGATATGATAAAATATGATCATCTCTGACCCAATTTCCCCCTCCAATTCATTCCATATGCCACAATATGTCCCCCTACTTCACATCTTTCTTTTTTAAAAACCTACCAAATATAGTTAGTGCTACCCATGGGGGTGGGCCTAATCATTGGAGCAAGGGAATCCCATGAGTGGCCACATCCTCAAAAATGAATAATTCTGCCTCCCCAGCAACTATCCACTGCCAACAGCAAGAGGTAGAGCTGAGATCATCTACCCCATCTATGCTGGGGTTTGCCTGGCTTGATCTTGCGTAGGTCTTGTACAGGTGACTACAGCTGCTATGAGTCCATGATTGTGACAGCCATGTCACGTCCAGAAGAGAGCATTTCACAGCACTCCTCCCCATCCCCCAGCTCCTACATTCTATCTCCTCCTCCACCGTGTGTCCTAAGCCTTGGTGATGATGTGGTTAATACAGATGAGGGATGAGCACTCATTCCCTTGTTCTTCACACTTTGGCCAATTATATATTTGTAATATATATTTGTAACCTTTACCTTTCTGGTGGGTTGGACCATTTTATGATTGGGAAATCTCTCTCTGGATCATTAAAACTTGCTCCCCACTTCTTTTATTTTTAGCCTGATAGAAGTATAACTGTTCTAGGTGCCTTAAGGTATCTGTCTGAATTGATGCCTACGTGTTATAGATTCAACCATAACATTTTATAGACATTATCTTACGCAATGGATTTGTTGTTCAGAAAAGAAAGAAAAAATATAATTTGCAAACTTGCTATCCAGCATTTTTACAAGTCTATGTTTGTTTTCTTCCTATTTTTTTTTGCCTGTTGTTCACTATCTCTAATGTTCAGTCCCCAAATTCTCAGCTGCTTTTCTCAAATTTGCTTTTTGAACTATGCAGAGAATTTTCATTATTGTTATTGTACAGGTAGCTCCAGAAATTCCATGTGATTTTTATAGAAAATTCATTGCTTTTCTTTATTGCTAATCTGTATTTGATTAGTCACTATAATACCTCTATTTAATCTTCAATATTAGTTTTCTTTAGTTCTTTGAACATATTCATAATTTCTACTTTGATGTCTTTGATCAGTCCATCATTTGGGTCCTCTCACAGGAATATTGTCTATTATTTTTCCTGGGTTTGGGTCAGACAGTAAAGTTTATTTGACAGTTTCATAAGATTTCATTCACTGTATAATATATTCTGTCTCTCTGGGTGCGGGCCCCATTTTCTAAGGCTTACTGGGGCTGCTTTTGTTTACTTGGTGTCTTGTTTGTACATTTTTTGACTTTAGGAGACTAAATCTATGAAACATGCTTCCCCTAATTGTGCAATGTGTGCTATTTCTTCTCATTGATTTGTGTGTTTTTCTCTTTCACCTGGCTTCCTACGGTCTTCCTAAGTCAACATGTTCTGTTGCCTAGTATGTGATTGCTCACCAAGGATTTTTATTCAGTAGGTGTTTGTTTTATCTTTGGAGATTCAGGCTGAGTTATTCAAGTAAATGGTGTCTTGCAGTCATACAACAAAGGTAGTGTAGAACAAGGACTGGAAAAGGCATTGGCCCCATGCACAGAGCTCTGTCTAAGACATGATGTTGCCTTTCCAGGTGCAAATAAGCTTATCACTCCATTCATAAATAAGTAAAACGCCCAATTATCAAAATCTGAAGTCATAAGCTTGTGATTTTACACATAGCCGCAAATATGATGTACATGTCCCCTCTAATTTGGGTCTGCACACATGAGCTCTTAATGGTTAGGCTGCCATACTACTTCAGGCAGCTCTAGCCACTGGGCCTTCAGCTCTGGGCCACATTCCTTCCTTTGTCGTGATGCTGGTATATCGGTATCTGTTTGACACCTTGTGCTTTTTTCAGTTTTATTCAAAGGTGACGTGTTATTAGGATTCTGGTAACATGTCTAATTGTGTTTCCAGTTTCCCCCATACAGACCACCTCCCCTTCATGTCATTCTCTTTCAGTTCAGACCCATTCAAGAACAAACTCCATTCCCCCTTCGGCAGAGTAAAGTTTTACGATGTCGTCACACCATCACCACAGTTCTGTGTTTCCTTTAGATACAGCTCCACCCTGGAAAACCTGTCTTCTCTCCAGCTGCTGGGGAGTTACACAGAAGTAAGGAACTACGTCACCGTGATCGCCGCCATCCTGAGCCGTTTGTATGTGAGGAGCACAAACACTTCTTCGTGTGGTCTATGGTCACAGATACAGGATGTATTGATTTCTTCTGCATGCGAAGTACCTGTTACAGACCAGGTATGGCCCTCAGCAGGGCAGGGCAGTGTCTATAAACCTGGACAGCAGCAGTCCTCTGAAAGCTGGCTTCTTAGCAAGGGCTCCTGCTCCTAAAATCCAGGCAGGAAAGGAGAGCAGGTATATAGGCTGATAGGCTCCTGTGAATGTTTCTGCTTTATATTGGAGAAAGTGAAACACATTGATTGTCATTATGAATAATTTTCCTAATGTTTCTATGAATAAAAACATTCCATAAATCTGATTTGTTTTTATTCTGTTAACAACCATAAGCCAAGGGATAAAGTCAAAATTGAATGCAATTTTTTTTGTAATCAATGTTTTTAAAGATTTATTTCATGTGTATGGTTATTTTGCCTATGTGCATATCTGTGTACCTGTTGCTCATGGAGGCCAGAAGTGACCACTGGATCCTTTGGAACTGGAGTTACATGGCTGTGAGTCACCACTATATGGGTGCTGGGGATTGAACCTAGGTCCTCTAGAAAAGCAACCAGTACATTTAACCACTGAACCATCTTTTTCTGCCCCAAGTGTAGTTTCTTAATAAATGACCATGACTCAAAGATTATTGCCCCTCTGGCTTTTCTGCAACTCTGCTTTGTAATGGTCACTAGTGAACATTCATGTTTCATTAGAACTACAAGATACTCTACTAGACCTAATCATTTTCCTTCCTCTGACATTTTTCTGCCCCTTCTTCATAGCTCCATTTAGTTCTGTCCCCATATTTCAGCTTCTACTGTGTCAGATTCCTACCAGGGCCTGGTGAAGCTGGCCAGAGACACATCAGAGTCATGCTGGACTGGACGGAAGCTTTGAGACCAAGGTCATGATCTTGCTACAAAAGGGCTGACCCTTAGGAAGACTCTTCACAGAAAAACACAATACATTTCTTCAGAAGCAAGCTGCATTTGAACTAATATGATTCTCTCTCTCTCTCTCTCTCTCTCTCTCTCTCTCTCTCTCTCTCTCTCTCGGCTTGTTTCTACTATTTAGGAAGTGATGGTGGATTCTCTTCATATATTGAGAGACCTCATAAGCTTCCCTAATAAGGTAAGTGCCATTTCTTTCTCTGGATTTTCCTGGATTTTGCATAATTATAAAGGCCATGATTGAGACTTGATAAATATAGAACTTGGAATTGTATTTTGACATTGAGGATAGAGACATAACTTTCTCCTAGATGTCCCTCTGAACAGCATTGTCTCCCCTCAAGCTATGCCTAAGGACCTTTTCTTCATGTAGAAATAGAAATATAAAGGGGTAACAACAAGTGCCTGCCGCGGTCTGAATCACCTTGGTGGGCAGATTGCTCTTCATTACTAATGTGTGGTGCCGGATTCCATGGTCACGCCTGCTTGTTTTCTCAAATCTGTAACATTCCCCAGAGTCATTCAATAGGTGTCTTCACTCATTATGTAGTTCTTTGAGAGATGACAAAAGAACTCTTGGGAGTCCCTCGTTGCCACCACTCAGCAAATCTTACTGCAGTTACATCTGTCTTCACACTCTGTCACTAGGAAAGAAAATTCCTGGTTCCCGGCAAGCATCCTTCCTCCATCTGTGCCCACGAACCTACCCACCACCACCCTGTACAGCCCCAGTCCAGCCTGTGTGACTGATATCCCGGGGATTGAGACAGGTCCAACCTAAATGGCTGGTGCTGGTAGTTCCATCTCTGTCATACTGTTCTCCAGGGTTTGTCTCCTTAAGTTGTCCATGAGCTCCTACTTCTTTTTTCCCCCTCTTCTAGATGATCCCAAGGTGTGTCATGACTCCCACTTATTTCTTGAAGGATCCATTTGGTTATGTCCAGCACCTTCCAGCAGCTCTCGCTTCTAGCACCTCTCTGCAGTAGAGCATTGAGGTGGTGCCTGGGTTTGCTATGGCAATGCCGGCTGTTTGTCCTGCAGCTTTACCTGTTGCCATGGCTTTGCATATTCTTAGAGCTGAAGCTGAAAGATTCCCTACACTTTCAATTCTACTAGACTGCTCTTCTTAGCCTCTTTTGTCCTTCATGGGACATACCGGGGGTGGGGGAGTCCTCATTTCATGGCCCCACGACTCAGTTTTTGGTTGCCAGCCCTGGCTCTCCAGCGGCCTCCTCCCTGTCATGTGGACATGGTCAGGGTTTCAGCAGGGAGTCCCTTGGACTTCTCCAATGTTCTCTCCTGGTGACCTCTTCTAGTCTGTTAGTCTCAAATCGGTGTGATTCTACCAGACTGTGCATTTTACATCCTCAGCCCAGCCCTCTCTCACATGCTGCAAATCAGCCTCACGTTTCCAAGTTCAGAGGCACTCCAGTTTCTTCCTGCTTCCTGTGGCTCAAGACGGGACAGCACTGCTACCCAGAGTCAAGTTGAAACACCCAAGGTCACCTGAGCATCTTTTGATCTTGGCATCCACCAAGTATAACTGAAGGAGTCGGTTCTTCTTTTAAAAAGATGTAGCCAGAATCTCCCTGCCTTTTCCATCTCTACTGCTCCCCACTAACCTCCAAGCCGACCATCTTTCATCCACGCTGGGTATCTCTCTCATTGCTCTCTCTGCTTCCTCTCTGCCACCTTGATAACACTGACCACAAGCAGCAGTCAGAGCATCCTTGTGGAAAAGCCTAAATCAGGTAGTCACCTCTGCTCTCTTAAGACCAGTCTACAGCTTTGTGTTCACATTCAGGAATGCAAATATCTCCCCATAGCCTGCATGCTTTGGCTCCTTCTGACCTACACTTTCTTCACCTGGGCCCTTCAACCCACCACACTCTTGGTCTATGCTGGTCCATAACTAGGGTAGTTGTCCTATCGTGTCCTGCCTTTGGCTCAGCAGAGAGCTGAAGACGGTCCTTAGACACTCAGCTTAAGTGTTTCTTCCCCACAGATGTCGCCTGGCACCCTCCCTTCTTATTGCGGGGTCTCTCCTTTGCTGGCTTTGTACTTAGCAGCTGTCTTGTGTGTTTCCTTATTCCTCTTCTTTTCCTCACTGGAGTGTGAGTGCCATGATGACCAAGAGACAGAGTAGACGAGTGAGAGACACTGTGACCCTGTCACCTGTTTCCCATTCTTCCTCCTCAGTCTCTTCTTCATCTTCATTTCTGATCACCAATCATGCCAAGGCTGAGTCAGAAGGCTGGACTTCCCTTGACCACATACTCTCTTCTCTTACAGATCTGCCTTCATAAAACACATCTGGTCATGTCACCTGCTACTCAATATGCCTGATGGCTCCCTGCATTACAGATAATGTTTAGGTTCTCCACACAGCACACAAAGACCTCACCTGGACCAGCTCCTTATCTCTGTGCCTCCCCTTGCACACCATCTCTTCAGTGTTCTGTCACTCTAGATGTTTCTCTTGTTCCTGAAGTAGAAAATTTTCTCTTAACCTGGAACAGCTTATTTCTTCTCCTTTGAAAAATATTAGTTTCTCATCAAAGCTGGTTTCAAATGCTATAATCTCCATGAAACCCCCAGAGATCTGATAACAGAGTTTATTTGACTCCACATAAACATAGCACTTGGGATTTGGGGCACTTCTGTCTTCTAACTCTAATTCTCCCGGGATGAGCTGTGGTAATGTCAGCTGGTATAACAAAAAGCCCTGGTGTCCCAGTAACTGAACACAGAGGTGTTTTGTGAATGACCCTCTCATGGAGACCCAACCTCCCCCTCCCTTGTTCTCATGTATCTGACATCTTCACTCTATGGCTCGCCAGTTGAGGGGAGAAGAACACAGATAAGGTATGCCACATATCAGTGATGTTACCCTGGAATTGACAAGCCTCACCCCACACATTTTTCTTATGACTGCTGCACATGTGGCCTCACCTGGACTCCAGGACCTGGGGTATGGAGTTTTTGCTCAGACAAGACTCCTCAGAAGGCTAGGAGGATGAACATGGTAGAGATCAACCCAAGCCTACCCACAGTCCTTTTGTGCATCTCTCAGAAATGAAGCTGAACATGATTGCCATGTCTGAAGTAACCATTCTAGATATTTTTGTTTGTTTAGCAATTGTGCAGTGCAAATATTGGACATAAAGCACCTTACATGTTTTGCTGGGTAACAGTTCTTTAAATCTTAAACCCTGTTTTGATGTCAGCTCTGTAAGCAGTTTAAGTGCTTTTCCAGGGGCTGAGGAGATGTCTCAGCCAGTAAAGTGCTTCCTGCACAGGTATGGAACCCGAGTTTATGTCCCCAGCTCCTATATTAAAAGCTAAGCACATGTTGAGTCGTTCCGATCCCTATTAATAGGGAAAAAAGCCAAGAGTCTCCACACCACTTGCCAGGGAACATCTGACCCCATCTCCTCTTCCCATGCAGTTGAGCTTGATGAGTGGCATGCACATCCTCAAATATGCCCAGATGTCCCTTGCTCAAGGTCAGTCCTCTGAGAAGTGGCTGGTCAACAAAAAACTAGGAGTTGAACTTATCCTTCTCATCTCTGGAGTCTGGGAAGCTTCCAAAGAAGACACAAGGAATGAAGAGTACCTGCAAGAAGAAGGCATGAAGATCATCTCTGACACGTTACTAGTAAGATGTTCTGTCCACCCACAGGAATGCAGCCACAGGCCTGAGTGCCGCTCATCATCGGTAGAATGCGTGCTTGGCATGTGCAAGACCCTTGATACCATCCCCACCAGATACACAGACATAGACACACACACACACACACACACACACACACACACACACACACACACACACACACCAAACATCACATGTTAGCCCGAATTTATATCTCTTTTCCCAGTGAAAATTAGAGTGAGCACCTGAAGAGCTGAGCTACGGTTCCGGGTGGCAGCTCATCGTTTAGAAATGTTGGTCTGGAATGTTAAGTGTTTTATGGCAGCAGTGTTGTGTGTCCAGTGTTCTGACAGATTTATCATTTGGGATTTCGGGACATACTTTGTTTTCTGCAGAATGGCATGAAGTCACCCAAAAGATTGCTTGCATACATGAGTTTGAAAGTGGCCCTGCTGATCTATGACTCTTAAGAGAAACAATAGATGTCTATTTCATTTATTTCTGATGCAGTGGCTTTGAGAAGTTGTCTCAAATCTTTTATTTGAATCTTCTGAAATAGCCAAAGTTCTGAGGAAGCAGTGAGTTAGCAGGAGATGTTTTTCTCTCCTTTCCCTCTGCCTTCCCTTTCTCCCAAGCTTCATGGTTTATTTAACTAATAGCTATCAAAATACTGTGGAGATTATAGAGCAAATAATAAAATCTTTGAATCTGGCAGCTTGTCGTTATTATTCTCATGCACATATGAAAATGTGTTCCATCTGAACCTGCACTAAAGCTTAGGCTTGTGCACATACCAACTGACCTAAAGGTTTTGAAAAGCAACCATTCTATCAAGACTCTTCTTAGGAACTAGGAAGCATAAGAAGCATAGCAATTTTTTAAAAATCAATAAAACATCAGTGAGATGCACCCAAACCGGAAAAAGCCATTTGTGCTTTCAGTATTACTGTCTTTTGTGTTTTGTATCCATTTGCACATCATCTTGCGAGCATCCCCCTCACCGTCCTGTGTTTGCAGGCCTCTCTCTCCCTGAGCCACCAGCATCAGCTGCACATAAGCACTGGGCAGATGGAGTTCTGGACCCTTCTCCATCACAGCTTTCAGAGTTCTATCCAGAACCTGGGCTTCATCTCGGTCCATTTCCCTGGTGGCCTGGCCAGGCACAGTCCTGCTCAAGAGGAATCACAAAGCCCATGCTACATCAGCCAGCTCATGTTCTTCAAAAGCAGCCCTTATCCAAGGGGACGAGCTCCTGGACAGGTACAGCACATGGCCTCTGCCACTGCAAATGGCGGTTTCAAGTTTTCAGTAACTCGACTTCCATGAGAAGAAGGAGAGTAGGTTGGCACGCTTGCCCATTGTCCCTGTTTCCAAAGAGAAGCCACTTTGCTGTGTCTGAGGAGGCCTGCAGAAGGCTGGTGACAAGAAGGTGGGAAACGTATCTTCCAGAGACAAGGTAGACAGACAGAGAAGAGTTACTAGATAATATCCCAGAAGGCACTATGGGCAAGTCTGAGGAGGGAGTGCTTAACCTTACCTCTGGTGCTGTTTATATGGGGTCCATTTCTGGGTAGGTGGGCGGGTTTCTCACAGTTTTGTTAATTAGTACAACTTCCAGCACGAGCCTGCCATTTGGGCTAAGGTGCCACAGTTCATTAGGAGTTAAACTCTGGTCGTTTGCCCAAGATGTCCCCGGTCTCTGAAGTCAGACTCCCAGAGATCATGGCCTGTTCAAGTGTTAGAATTTCTGTTTTTATTCTTGGTCTTTTGTCTCCAGAAAAATCTTAGCAGAACTAGGGTCCTTGGTGTCTGATAGGTGGATCCATGCAGCATTCACTGTGGGGCTTTCTAATCTGTGTCAGGGAGTATAGCATGGAACACATGGTGGAATGGTCACACCTCAGGCAGGTTTCATTGCTCCTGAAATCAACTTAGAGTTCAATCAGAACAAAACAGGAGCAGGGACTTCTGAAGAGTCCCAGTAACATGCTAACAGAGAGGTGCATGTGGTCTGTCCCTGGTTAGGGGTGTGGAAGTCAAAAGGACCTGCAAGGTCTTTACACTTTGGTGTGAGCGTCTACTTTCAGAACCCACAAGTGCTCCTGGGTGTGTGGGTCAGGAAGTAGTGTGTACAATGACCATTACATCCTCTGCCTTCCCACCCAGCTCAGCTCAATGGGGCAGCTCCTCTTCCTCCTCCTACTCCTCCTTCTTCATCTCCTCCTCCTTATTCTCTTTGTCCTCCTTCTCCTTCTTTAAAAAAAAAAATAAGACAGGGTCTCACTTTGTAGCCATTGGAGTCACAGAGACCCACCTGTCTCTGCCTTCTGAGTGCTGGGACTAAAGGCTTGCGACATCACCACCCATCCCAGACACCTCTTTTTATAAGAGCTCCTAACATTTATTTGAACTTAAAAAGTTATCATTTTGGCAAGGAAAACATACAAGGAACATTAACTACCCCCATCCATATAAATTCTGTCAACCTACCTCATTAAACTCGTTTCGTTTGATCAGAACTGGAAAAACAGTATGACTCCAATTACTTCCCGCTTTTCTTTGCCTCTCTTTGTTTTTGTTTTGTTTGTTTGTTCATTTGTTTATTGAGGCAGGGTCTTTCTACACAGCCCAGCCATCCTAGAACTCACTATGGGGACCAGGCTAGTCTCGAACTCACAGAGATCTATCAGCCTCTGCCTCCAGGGAATGCTGGGATCAAAGGCGTGCGCCTCCTCTGAGTCAACTGTTGCCTTCATTGTCTTTGTTCCCCAAGGTGGGTGGTGTGGTGAGCCCTGGGCTCTACAGCTGCCACAGCAGAAGACCTATTCTCAGAGGACGACTCGCGATGCCCCTGACTGTGGAGTTTGGGGAGGAAGATCACCTGGTAATGGCAGCTCCATTTAGGCCTGGCTGGCTGCTTTCTAATGTGTTCACTTTCCCCAAGACAAACTGCCTGACTGGCTCTCTTTCCGATGGACAGCACAAGAGAAATCCAAACATGTTTGCGTTGCTTCGAGATGAGGTGAATCTCCACCGGTTCACTGGGCTCTCTGAAAACCCCCAGGAAACCTTACAGATCCGCATCGAATTCTCCAAGCCTGTTACAAGAGCCTTCCCCGTCATGCTGTTAGTAAGGTGTGTGAAGGTGGCAGCCGCAGTGCTGATGAGATCACAACATGGTGGAGTGTCCTTAAGGGTTTTTTGTGAACAAATGGGTGAATTAGTTTTAAAGTAATAATGAGGGTCAGCGTCTAAAGAAATTCCACATATGCCTACATGCATGTATATCTGTTTAGAAAATGAGCCTCCCTACTTTTTCCAAAGTTAGATTCCTGCCTGTTAACTAGAATGAGAAACAGCCGACTTTCAGTCATACTATATAGGACACCATTTAGAAGTCTGATAACACCACAGTTCCCTCCCGTATTTGCTTTTTTTCTCTCTTTTTCCTCCAGGGGAAAATGTATTCAATTTTACATTTCCATAGAGACTTGATAACTGAATTCTCTTTCTCAGTGATGTTGAGTAGGTGAGATTAGATTGGTCTCAGTTAGCGGCTAGACTATGTGGAAAGGCTGTTGGAGTCTTTGGATTCTCAGGCTAAAAACACTACTCTCAGCCACTGTAGCGTCTGAGTGGAAGGGGGGAGGGGCAGTGTCTTCTGGGAGAAGCAGCTCTGGGTCTTTCTGTCCTGGGAGTCTCCACATGTTTGGGCAGATGTTGGCTGTTCCACTGTACCTGCTTAACCAGGTGAGTCCCTCAACTGACTGGAGGGGACTCAGGAGGCAGGGTCAGTGTCATGCCTCTGCTGGGCAGATAGGCTCCACACACGGCTGTCTCAGTTCACTGGCTTGACTCTATCTGCCCAGTGAGCTGAGCATCAGATGTCTAAAGGTTTCCATTTGTTTAAAAAATCTGGATTTTTTTACACTTAATTCTTCAAAGTCACATACAAAAGGGAAGTGCTTAGAATTTTCTTTACCTGAATAGTTTGAGCCTCTGCTGTCTCCCTGCCAATTCCCCACTTTCTGACAGCAGGATGAGGCATTATGCAAATAAGCTTACACTGGTGCCCTGTTCCTCAGCACGCAGCCAGGGGTTTGTTCTCATCCCACAAATAGAGCTGGTTATCATTCTTACTTTTTCTTAAAGGAGGTTGTGTTTGGGTTTGGTTTTGGTTTGTTCTTTACAGATATAAGGGATAAAGTGTTAGGTGTGTGTATGTGGGGGGTGGAGTTACGGGGATAAGTATACCGGGGGTGAAACACATTGCTTCTTTGTTGCCCTAACTGTCTCCTGCTATCCCTTTCTAGGGAAAAGTACGATTGTCACACAGTGCATAAGTAAAGTCTACACAGGCAAGAAAAGCTGCATCTCACTACTTTTTCTTTGCCCCCAGGTTCTCCAAGAAAGCCACGCCTTCTGATTTTCTTATGAAGCAGGTCTACTCCTGGGATAAGCAGACTGTTCACATTTATGTACCTGCTGTTCCATGGAAAGGTCAGTGGGCGCTAAGCCTTTGAAATCTCTGCTCTCTTTATGTGCTGAGGACTTGCTGTGGCTTGTCTGTGCACGGCAGCAGTGTTTTTCTTTCTTTGTTGTATCAACATTCAAGTCTGTACCACCACACACAGCTAAAAACATTTTAGTAGTAAAATATATCAGCCTTGTTTTCATTAAAATTATATCATATCTCCCCTTCTTTTTCCTCTCTTCAATCTACCCCATGCTCCTCCTTGTTATCTCTTCAAACCATGGCTTTATTTACTTTAATTGTTACTGCTACACACACATACATGCATGCACACATGCCTGCATGCCTAAATATATAAGTACAACTTGCTCAGTCCTTTTGGTGAAATACATATATATATAATTTTCAAGGCTGATTGCTTTGGGTATTGGATAATCAGTTAGGTGGCTCCTCCCTGGGGAAGACCAGTTCTCTCACTCTCATCATTCATTAGTTGCCTATAGTTCTTTGTCTAAGCGTGGCACCTGTGAGACTTCCCCTTTCCATATAGCAGGCTCTATTGGTATTGTCCTTCTTTGGATCTAGTTTAGACAATCATGCTGTTGAAGTATCATGGGAGAAGCTTCCCTAACATTTCTTTTTATTTTATGTGCATTGATTGGTGTTTTGCCTGCGTGTATGTCTGTGTGAGGGTATCAGATGGAGTTACAGACAGCTGTGAACTGTCACGTGGGTGCTGGGACATGAACTCATGTCTACTGGAAGAACACCCAGTGCTCTTAACCTCTGAGCCATCTCTCCAGCCTGCTTCCCTAACATTTCTACGAGGCACAATCTCACAGTGGATTCCCTGGTCCTCTGGCTCTTACAGTCTTTCCACCCATTCTTCTGCAATGTTCCTTGAGGGTATGTGCAGGTTGTGTTATAGCTGCATTGATGGGGACTGGACTCTCCACCGTCCCTTGTACACTGCATTTTGACCAGCTGTGGGTTTCTGTAGTTGCTGTCATATGTTGCAAAGCGAGGTTTCTTAGATTTGAGGCTATTGTTAGAAATCAATTCCTTATATCTGAGTTTTAAGAGAAATCACTTACATGTCTTTTAGCACTGGTATCATGTCAGTGTTTTAGAATTTTAGATCTCTGACCAATTATTTATTATTGTATATAATATGAAGAATGGTACAATTTCATTCATTTACTCATTCAGTTATTGTGTGTGAGAGAGTGTGTGGTATAAATGTATGATATATGTGGTTTGTGCCCCTATGTGTGGGCAGGTGTGCAAATCTGTGTGTGTGTGTGTGTGTGTGTGTGTGTGTGTGTGTGTGTGTGCAAAGCCAGAGAAAGATGTCAAGTGTCCTGTTCCATCACTCTCCACCTCATTCCCTTGAGACAAAGTTTCTCCATGAACCTGGGACAAGACTAGTAGCCAGTAAGCCCCAGACATCATTTTGTCTGCAATCCCCACAGCACTAGATTGCGAGGAAATGTGTGTCTCCATCGGGTCTTTTCTGTGGGTTCTGGGGATTTGAACTCATGTCCTTAAGCTTGCACAGCAAGCACTCTTACCCACTTGTCATCTCCCTATCAGTTCCATAGTTTTACAGACAACTAATATTTAATTGCCCTAAACCAGTTATTTAAAAAAAAATCTCAGGAGAAAACTTTAAATAAATGGAGAGTTAAATACTTTTACTTTTCAACATGAAATGTATCTGGAGATGATTAGGGTTTTAGCCAAACCCACGTGGTCTGTGTCTTGTCCACAGAACCATGCAGACCCAGAAGCATAGTGTTTGACAGAGTGGCTGGTGGTCTGAGAGGAAGCAGAAGTGGCTTGAAAGGTAGCTAAGAAGGAGCTGAACTATCTCCATCCCTTCCAGGGTGGGATGATCCCTCTGTTCAGGATGCCAGGAAGGACGTGGAAGATGGCGGCACTGGAAACACTATTTTCCTCCCAGGCACTCTATCACTCACAAATGAAGGCCTTGCTGTGTTTGATTCACTATAAATTCCAAAGCAGGGAATGGCCAGAATCTGAGGCACCTTTCAGTCCTTCCCTCTTTGTCCCTCTGTCCCCAGTGGCCCTTCCACCTGCATTTGGAATGGAGCATGTCCCTTGCAAAGTTTGTATGTTTTATTGATACATTTTCTCCTCTTTTCTAGGAGCCAATGTAGGGTATTTATCCCTATTAGATGCTGATTATGACAGGAGGCCTCCAAACAAGTACCTTGCTGGGACAGTAAACTATACAGTGCATTTCCAGTGGACGCAATGTGTGTTTTGGGACAAGACAGAGTGGAGATCCGAAGGTTCCTATCCACAGCCAGGAATGTCTCCTGAAAAAGTCAGCTGCAGGTACGAGTATCTCGCTGGGGAAATGCCTGGGAGTGTTAGCAACTGGTTCCATCTTTGTCTGCATTTGTGTCGGTCCCTGGGGCCGTCCACGAGTGGTGTCCTCCCATGAAAGCTGGGCAGTCTTGATTGATGCTACCCTAGCCGAATGTGCCTGCTACACCTGTCTGCATGCCAGTCTTGGGGCTCCCAAGGAAAGGGGCTGATGTCTGTGAGGCATCCTGTCTGAGCCACCTGTAATGATTGGCATGTTGCAGGTAGTTGTTAGTGCCCTCTGAGAAATGAGGCATCAGATGAGTGGCACATGCATCCATCAGATCCTTACCGTCGATTCAGGGCATCCTGTGACTATGCACTTTGTAGTCAGACAGGCAGACTCTCTGCTGTTACAATCCCTACCCTTCCATCTCTTTGTGAGCAGAGGAGTTCCCTGTCAGAGAGGGCTTGGACTGAAAGTTAACTTCACATGGAAAGAGAAGTCTGCATGGACACAAGCAGCCTTTTTTCATTTCGGGATATCTGGGTCATATCACTAAAATGAATGCTATTTATTCACCTAGGCATAAATTTAACAATCTTTCGATCAGTTTAGTCCAGTCATTTGTGCTTTTCAATGGGGTAGAAATTCGGTAATTATTAGTATAGAAACAGTCTTTTCCCTCAAGAACAATGACCTTTCCTGGCACCACTTCTCAGGGTTCCTCTCTTGATTCCTGCCTCTATAGGCCCTTACTCCAACTAAGCATGGAAATGTAAAAATTGGAAGCTAGAATCCTATATAAAAGAAAACAAGACATTTGTCTTTCTAGGATTGGTTTAACTCATGTACATAATATTCCCAGTTCTACCCATTTTCCTGCACATTTCATTTTTCTTTAGTGCTGAGTAGAATTCTGTTGTGTACATCTATCACATTTTTATTATCCATTCATCAAGTGATAAACAGCTAGGTTGTTTCCATTTCCTGGCTATTGTGAGTAGCACTACAGTGAACATGGATATGTAGACATCTCTGTCATAGACCCTAGAGTCCTTTGGGTCGGTACCCAGAGTGCTGTGGCTGGGTCATATGGTAGTTCTACTTTTAGCTTTCTGAAAAATCTCTACACTGGTTTTCAGGGTAACTGCACCAACTTCCATTCCTACCAACAGTAAGAAGGATTCCCTTTCCCCCACAGCCTCACCAGCATTTATTGTCACTTGATGTCTTGATAGCAGCCATTCTGACTGGGGGAGAAAGAATCCCATGGTAGTTTTAATGTGAAATTCCCTGATGGCTAAGGCTGTTACATACTGTTTCAAATGTTCACTTGCATTTCTTCTTTTGAGAATTCTCTGTTCAGATGCATGACCCATTTTTAATTGCATTTTTTGTTTCCTTAATGTTTAGGCATTTTTTTCCTTTAGTTCTTTGTATTATCTAGATTTCTTTCTACCTAACCTATTTTTCTCATTTTTTCTTTTGTTGAAAATATTCTTTTCTCATACAATATATCCTGATTATAGTTTCCTCTCTCTCTACTCCTCCCAGGTATTCTCCACTTCTCCTTCCCTCAAGAGCCATTTCCTTTCTGTCCCTTATTAGAAAAGAACAGGCTTCTAAGAGATAACAACCAAAAATAACAAAATAAAATATATTAAGATGAAGCAAAAATTATCATATCAAAGTAGGAAGTGGCAACCCAATGGGAAAAGAGTCCCAAGATCAGGCACAAGAGTCAGAGACCTTCTCATTCACACAGTCGGTTATCCCATAAAAGTATTATCTAGATATTAATCATCTGCCAGATAATAGCAGGCAAAACTTTTCCTCCATTCTGTAGGCTGCCTTGTCAATCAACTGAGAGTATCATTTGCTGTACAGCTTTTCATTTCACGAGTTTCCCTTTGTCAACTATTGGTTTTATTTCCTGAGTGACTGGTGTCCCATTTAGAAAGCACTTATATATGCCTATATCTTACAGAATACTCTCTCCTTTTCCTCTATTGATTTTATAATCTCGGGTTTTACGTTTAAATCTTTAATCCACTAGGAGTTGATTTTCATGGAGTGCGAGAGATTAGTACCTAGTTTCATTCTTCTACACGTACATACTTGATTTTTCTCAGTACTATTTGTTGAAGATGCTGTCTTTTCTTCAATGTGCATTTTTGGTATATTTGTCACAAATCAAGTAGCTGAAGTTGTGTGGACTTACATCCAGATTCTCTACTTCATCCCATTGGTCTCCATGTCTCATTTTTGTGCCAATACCATGTTGCTTTGTAGTAGCCTTTTACAATAACGTGGTGCCATGGGAAGTTACTGGTAATGTTTCATTGGTCCAGTGTTATCTGCTTTTAAATTATAGTGAAAGCAGTCCTTTGTTCTCTAATACACAGTACTCCTTCCCCAAGAGCCAAGGGCACAAAGGAAGAACATACAGAAACTACCTGCAAGATGATAAAGAGGAAGCAGTTTTATGTTTTAAAAAAAAAAAAAGCATTTTGGTAGTTATCACAACAGGTTTGGCAATGACAGGATATTTGTGAGGCTAGGACAGGTGCTTACGCAAAGGTCAGTCTACCGTGAGGCTCTAACCTGAATCTGACGCAGGGCTGTGCTGTCGCAGGTCTGCCTATAGGTGGCAGTGTACCCTGATGTCTGATGTCTTGGGACAGGTCTCCTCAGCAGCTGACTCCCGGTGCCCAGATTTGAGGCTCTGTGGTACATCAGAGAGTTACACCCAAGACATGGCAAACCGGCCTGCATCATAACATCTGAATGACTGCTGTTTCTTTTTTCCCAGCTTCTCATTGCCCCATCACAGAGAGTTGAACTTATCCCACGTTTGTTATTCTGCTCTGTTTTCCCCTTCTAGCTACCATCACCTTGCACCTTTCTCTGTCCTAAGAAGGAAGGTGAATGCCACTTTCGAAGTGAGCCCCATTTCTGAGTTTCGGAGGTGAGTTCCACTCTCCAAAGCAGAGTTCATTTCATGTGGTCTAGTGACCACTTAAGAGATGCCCATGCTCCGCTGAGTTTATACTTAACATTTATGTAACGTGTTTGTTTTCTGGAGCACAGATGTGAGGAATGATTGTCTTATATGTTGTGTTATTGTTTATATTTTACAGCCACTGACAGGAGCCTTATGAACACCCAGGAATCCAGTGTCTTTCTTACTTTTAAGCTCAGCTATATTTCAGTGTAGACTGGGTCAATTATTACTGATTTAATTAATATTTACAGAAATCAAAAATAACACTCAATTTGCTTTTCTTGGTTTATACTGAACATTGTAGCCTCATTTCCAATAACAACTTGGTCTTAGTTAGGGTTGCTATTGCTGCGAAGAGACATCATAACCAAGGCAACTCTTATAAAGGAAAACCATTTAATTGGGGCTGGCTTACAATTTCAGAAGTTTAGTCCATTATCATCACAGTGGGAAGCATGGCAACATGCAGGCAGACATGATGCTGGAGAAGGAACCGAGAGTTCTACATTGTGATCGGCAGGCAGCAGACGGAGACTGCCACAGGGAGCATGGCTTGAGCTTCTGAGACCTCAAAGTCAACCCCCTAGTGACACGCCCTCTCCAACAAAGAAACACCCACTCAAACAAGGCCACACCTCCTAATAGTGCCACTCCCTACGGCCAAGCATTCAAATACATGTCAGTGGTGGCCATTCCTATCCAAACCACCACAAACCTCTATCTTATTTTAAGTAAGTTTAAAAGTTACCAAAGCCACTGTTTCAAAATGAAAAATTATATTTAGAGTTTGAAATACGAGTGCATTGAGGGCAAGCTGCTTTGAGTATTTTTTGCACTTATACTGGTAGAATATGAAACTGTACTTCACTTTTGAACAGAACTTAGTAGCTTAGCTGGTGGGCCTGATAGGTAGCAAGGAGTCATTAGTTACTAAAGACCAATGCTGCCCCAGGGAAGATTTCCAGCCAACCAATTCTTCAGGCTTGGAGAACAGTAGTTCCAGTCCTGGTTTTCTGCAACACCAATATTATTTGTGGGTAAACAAGGAGGAGTGGAACAGTGGAGACACTACAGACAGAAAATGGCACCCAAAGGTCACCCCAAAGCACTGGTGACATCTGAATGGCCCCAGGAAGCAGTGTAGGAATAAGAAGGACGGGCTAGAGCCAGGAAGCTATGAGCCAGGAAGTTCATAGAGTGTGACTGAGGGGAGGTGTCACCTGGTTCTGAGTCTGGTCTGGAAGCAGAAAGGAGGACACCAGATCGGGGACCAAGAGCATATGTCAGTCCTTAGATGGAGTCAGAGTGATGAGGCAGGAGAGTAGGAAGGTAGCAATCCCATACAGCATGGGTCCTCTGCAATTTTGTCACATACCCGTATAGCCCAAGTCCAGGTATGTTAAGGTCCAGCTGGATGACTCTCTGTGGATCTACAGAGGAGGGGGCTGGATGACTGCTCTCCCAGGCAGAATTGGTACATGAGTGCCAGGGACCAGGTGAGTGTAAGCTGCAGGTAGAGAGCAAGCAGCCTCACTCACATGGACAGAGGTACATGAAGAGGCACACTGGACCATCGGGAGCTGCTCCTGTCTTGTTCTGCTAGGAGGAGGCAGGAGAAGAACAGAATGTCACATCAGTATTGTGAGGCATGTCTCAGATAGGGACATTCTTCTTTAATTCCTCCTTTCTTCCATTTTTTCCCATTCATACTAAAGATTAAACCCAGAGCCTCACATATGCTAGGCAAGTTCTCCATCACTGAGCCATATCTGGCATTCTTTTTTCAATTTAGTACAGGTTCCTCAGACCTGGCAGGGTGCAGCTTGCTGCCACTCCAGCTGGATCATCATTGGCCCCTTGGGGCGTCATTGTAGGCTGTGGGGTGCCTGTCATTGGTCCCAGGCAGCTCTGTATTTTTCAGAGTCCCCTTCCACCCAACCAGTATAAGGTATTTGGGAAACACGTCTGTGAAGACCAAGGAGAGATTGTGAGTTTGTGAAGAGCTAATACATCTGCCTGAATGCCAGTTCCCGTGAGAAAGTCCTTTCATTTCTCTTTCTTTGTTTACAGTCACCCACACAACTTGCTTCCCGCTATTTTCAGTGTGTTTTTCTTGGTTCTTTATGGATTGTTGGTGGCTAAAAGCAGATGTGTAGATTGTCACAAGAAAAAGAAACCTGGTTGTATTTTTCTGAAAGAAGATACCCCACCTGGCCACCAACTGTATGCAGTCATCATTGACACTGGCTTCCGGTCACCAGCCCAATTTACGTCAAAGGTAACATGAGCTCCCAACAATGCCTTCTAACAATGAGGTCTAAGGGTGTAGATGAACCTGATAGGCACCAGAAGTGACAGTGAGATGATTTGGCTGCTCTGTCAATCACCTGTGACCACTGTCCCATCCTAATGTCAGGGGTGACACTTATCTGCCCTTTCTACTGTCCTGTGTATTTGTAAGGGCAAAAGACAGGACCCTCACCTCCTGCCCCCTGGACTCCTCTCCCCCTTTCTGCTTCCATCCATGTTTTCTTCTGAGTGGGTCTCTGAGATGTTGTGACTTGGACTCTACTCCTCTGAGTTAACACTGAATCCATGGCCCACCTCAGAGAAGGATCTAGCAAGAACAGGGTAAGAAGTCCCTAGGCTAGCCTTTGGGCTGAGTGGGAACGGGGCTGGGTTGAGAGATAGAGGCCATGGGCAGGGTTCCCCCGAGAAGCAGCTGAAGATGAGGTTGTGGATGGGGAGGAGGAGGACGTGGTAGAAGGGTCAAGGAGGAAGTCCAGCCTAGCAGTTCCAGGGAACGCCTAGGCCAAGGTGGGCTATGGAAGAGAGTTCTGCAGAGACAGGAACAAACTCATTCAGAGGCAGGGCTAGCAATGTACCCCTACAAATCCACCAGGAATTCTGCATGGGTGTTTGATACACACTGCCTTTTCTCTAAAAACATGCCTGCTTTATGGAACCCATAAATCTGGAGGCATGGGGAGTGAGAGTGGTCTCCTCTAGAAGCCAGAAGATAGGGCCACGTGTTCTTGACATGCTTGTACAAAAAAAAAAAAAAAAACAACAACAACAAAAAACAAACAAACAAACAAACAAAAAAAAAACGATGTTAAACAATTAGACCCGATGAGTTAGACAAGCTTGTCAGGTTCATGATCAGACTGGGGCGGCCCACCACTCATCCACAGAGTCAGTGGCTGTCATTGCTCATGATTGGAAGCAAGTTCCTCCTACCAGTCACAAAAGGACGAGTATCTGAAGGTGAATTCACCTAACACACACAGGGGCATCGTGGAAAGAATCTCCTCAATATTCATAAAAGACCTAAAGAAAGAATAGCTTTTTTTTTTTTCTGAGACAGGTTTCTCTGTGTAGTTTTGGTGTCTGTCCTGGATCTCGCTCTGTAGACCAGACTGGCCTCGAACTCACAGAGATCCGCCTGGCTCTTCCTCCCAAGTGCTGGGATTAAAGGCGTGCACTGCCGCTGCCACCGCCGCCACCACCACGCAGCAAGAATAGCTATCTTTATACAGTAGCTGAAACAACTAATTTCTCCTTGTCATAAATCATAAATCAATATGTAGGATGATGATAATGATGACAATATGAATTAGTCTATTCCTATATCCATATTACTTGTTTTATTTGAGGTTTTGTTTTGTCTGCATTTGTTTGCTGGTTTGTTGGTACAGGATTTCACTATGTAACCCTAGCTGTCCTGGAACTTGCTATATAGACTAGGCTGGCTTCAGATTCAGAAATCCACCTGCCTCTTCTTCCCAAGTGCTAGGGTTAAAGGCATGCCACCACACCCAGCCACACTATCCATTTTACTGAACAAAACCTAAGACATAAAGAGATTAAAGCCAATGAAATCAACTACAGTTTCAGAAAGATGTCTTGTGGGACAGGAATTATTGATTCTAAAGTTCATATGGAAGCAAGCACTAGCACACAGGAGAGTAAGTACAGGCCTAACGATCTGAAAGAGGACATGCATGGCTCCCCACCAGAAAGCCAAGCAAGAGCCTTCACAGTGCAATGTCTTCTGGGGTTAGCCAGTAGACTTATGGGACAGCTAGACACCCCAGAAATGACCCAGGTGTGTGTCAAGGTCTTATAGACCAGAGAGGCTGTTCAGCAAAATGTCTGGAGCAATCACAGTCCCTACAAAAGAAGACAATATAAAATCTTTAATTGACATTATACACACACACACACACACACACAGAGAGAGAGAGAGAGAGAGAGAGAGAGAGAGAGAGAGAGATAATAAATTTCAGAAGTTTAAAAACAGAAAGATAATGATAAAAAAAATAGTAGCTACTTTACTCAAAGCAAAAGATTATTGTGGACTAGGAAAGGATTTAAAAGACAAGAGATTGGGCCAGGCAGTAGTGGCGTATGCCTTTAATTCCAGCACTTGGGAAGCAGAGATAGGCTAATCTCTGTGAGTTCCAGGCCAGCCTGGTCAACAGGGTGAGTTCTAGAACAACCAGGACTGTTACACAGAGAAACTCTGTATCAAGAAGCAAAAACAAACAAACAAAAAAGTAAGAAAGAAAGACATTAATATTATTTTAATAAAAGATTAAAATTACACCACATCAAAGCTGCAGGTTTCTGTGTGGCAGATGCCAGGAAGAGTGATAAGAAGTACAGTGCAATTTGCTTCCCTAGGGTGCTCCTTGTGGACATGGGTACCACTCCCACCAGCCCTGACCCACTCTGGTGTTCTACAGGCCTAGTGTCCAGACACCATGCCCAAGGGTAGGAGATGCTGCCCTCTGTGGCCTTCTGCCCTGCAGAGGAAGAGAAACGCTGAGGATTCCAAAGGGGCTCCCACTTTCCTAGATGAAGTTTGTGAAGAGCTGGCTAGTGGAGGAGACGCTACACTGTAGGATGTCAGCCCTGGCCTGTGAGGGCTCAGCAAGTCATGCAAGGCCCCCACAGCCCCTGGGCTTGATGCTGGGACCTGCCAATAGGGAGCGGGGATGGGGCAAGGAAACACTGTTCTGCAGAACTCCACACCCTCCATAACGTAGCCTCAGCTCCCATTTCTCCATTTCTGTGTGTTTTAAGGTTTTCATTGTTTTATGTGGTGAAAACGGACTCTCAGAAACCAAAGAACTCTGCTGTCCAGAGATGTCCTTGTTTGGAAGGAATTCCAGGCACACCTTTATACTGAGGTACTCCTGACACCTCTACCCACATGTTTTGGAAAAGGGGCTGATCAGAATAAGGTATCACAAAGATGCTGCTTAGAGAACACCGGTTTTCTGAGCATCATGCCTATGATAAAGCTGGCTGATGAAGCTTAGAAAGAGAGTAATGATCATTGGCTCACACACTTAATTTTAGGAAGGTTCTGGTTTTGCTTTTTTTTTTTTTTTTTAAGGTAGGGTCTTACTATATAGTCACAGCACATATGATATTCACTATGTAGACCAGGCTGGACTTGCAAAATATCCTCCTGGCTCTGGCCCCTGGGAGTTGGAATTACAAGCATGCCTAACATATGGGATAGATTAACATAGTTTATTTACATGGGACAGGGTAGCAGGGTGGGAGGGGATGAAGGCAGAAAAAAGGTAGCAGCTTACTAAGCTTGTGTATTAGAATAAGTGTTTGTGTGTGTGTGTGTGTGTGTGTGTGTGTGTGTGTGTGTGTGTTACAAAACATGATTAATTAGTGCCACCATCCCAAATCAGGAAGATCAATGCTACACAGCATCCCAAAGATGGAGAGTCAGGGGAAGAGGTCATTTATCAAGGTAGAGGTGTAAGTACCCAGCACTCTTAGAAAACAGGAAATTTTTTCTCATGAAAAATGTATAATGTTTATTATAATTTACTTACAATATTTATTATTTTGGAGCATTGTTTTTATGAGGAAAGTACAGGTTAACTTCAGACTAACTCACATCCGAACAGGCTGCTAGAGATCTGAGTGACTTGGTTTAAGGAAGTTATAGCCACTCTCTTTTCAAGAGATGTGTTCCAGGCCACACAGTGGATCCCAGAATCACCAGAGAGCACTGAACCCTGGGCCTACTTGATTGTTCTTTGACATCCTAACCTAAGATAAAGTATGAGTTATTAATGAGGCGCAGCACAAGATTATCAAGCAGTAATTATAAAGCAGAATAGCTGTAAATAGCTTCAAAACTTACAGGTTGTTTTTTTCTAGAATTTTCCACTTGGTATTTTTGATTTGTGCTTGTTGGTGAATAACTGAAACCATGAGAAGTAAACTGATAATAAAGGGGGAAATAGAGTGGATCCTGAAGGCCTGTGTGCCCTTACCAGTCAATGCTCATTAGAACCCACTGTCCTTAAGAGCCCTATCAGAGTTGGTGAGGATTTTGCAGGTGCTGAGTACACATGGCTGATAAGACATTCCTGCATGTCATTAGCACTCCTAACCGACTGGGGCCACTCCAGAAGATCCGACTCTGGCATGACAGCAGTGGACCTTCCCCAAACTGGTTCCTCAGCCACGTGATGGTGAAGGAGCTACGGTCAGGCCAAGGCTGGTTCTTCTCTGCCCAGTGCTGGCTGGCTGTGGGCTTATGTGATGGCTGTGTGCAGCGGGAGCTCTTCTGCCTGCGCCACGGTCTTGGCTTCTGGAAGGTAGGCCCCATGCAGGTGACCTGTGACATATCAGATGGGCCGGTATTATTTCATGCCCACATCTACTTCTCTTTCCAAAGTTGTGACTCAAACTTTCCCAAAGTTATGTAGCTAACTGTCAAGATACCCATGTCGTGTGACTTCTGGAAACACGTGAACTAGAGCCTACTCACCCCAGACAGGGACCAGTGACTGACACATCCAAGAAATGTCTCCATCCAAGTCTATCTTGGTTAGCTACTTGGTTTATGGATTACTTTCAAGGGTGTGGGTGACTCAACAGAAGCCACACCACTGAAAAGCAGACCCCAGCGTGGATGGTGACTCACAAAATCAGCATCCCTGGCTCTGCACTACTTGCAGGTGGCTTTACCAGTAAATCCTCTCCATCGCAATGGCTTACTGTCTCTCTAACCTTGGAGAGGATATTTGTGACTCTCTTGTTTTATGAGCTCCCTCAGTCTCAGCACCCCTCCCCTCCTCCTCCTCCAGGAGAGGCTGCTTCAGTTCTGAGGAGACAGCTGCAACACACCACGCTTCAGATGACATGACACTTGGATCAGCTCACCAGCCAGCGTGCATTAATGCCTTTGCTACATAGCAATCTTTTTTTTTTTTTTTTGGTTTTTTGAGACAGGGTTTCTCTTTGTAGCTTTACGCCTTTCCTGGAACTCACTTTGGAGACCAGGCTGGCCTCTGAACTCACAGAGATCCTCCTGCCTCTGCCTCCCAAGTGCTGGGATTAAAGAGGCATGTGCCACCACCGCCCGGCTATACATAGCAATCTTTACAGCAATGTGGTTCGTCTTTGAGCCGCAACAGTAATCAATTTCTAGAGTTTCTGCATGCTGGTGGTCTGCAGTGTCTGAGAGGGCCCAAATGAAAGATCTGTAATCACTCACATGCCATAAACAATCCCGCTGTCAAAGAATGCAGACAGGTCATGGCTGCAGCATCAGAAGGCAGACAAGTGCTAATAGGTGACAGCATTGTCTATTATCTCACAGACTCAGTATGAAATTTTGGTTTCTGAATATTCCCATTTCCTCCTCATTGATGGGCATTGACTCATTTGCAAACATTCACACTTTATAGAACAAACCTCTTCATGAATTTTCTCTTAACTAATTTAAAGGCCATAGAATGGCCCACCGTACACTGCTACTTGTTGAGGCTCCAGCCACCATTTTCCTTTCTTTATTTCCATAAGAGCATATGTCACAAGAGACACTTCTTTGTGACTTGTGCTTCTGAAGAATGATTTCTTTTTAAGAATGTTTCTAACATTTTAATTACTTGTTGTGTGTGTGTGTTTATGTCACAGTCTATGTGTAGAGGTTAGAGAACAACTTACAGGAATTGGTTCTCTTCTTCCACCATGTGGGTCCTGGGAATTGGACTCAGATCATCAGCCTTGGCAGCAAGTGCTTTTACCCTTTGAACTATCTTGCCAACCTGATATTTCCTGGGCACTGGGTCTTTGATCTTTCCATTGCCACCATAGTGAGGAGAATCTGGCATTGCCAGTTTAGCACAAAATATGGCCAATATAAATTTGAAACAACTATTTCCAAATAGCCATGGAACACAGAAAAATTTTAGCACTTTAAACCAAAGTCCCTGCTTAACTGCAGCATCCCTTAGACAATAATCCCCATGCTTCCCCCTCAGGCTGTTGTGCTTGAGAACTTTGGGTAAGAAACCTAACTTTACTGATTTCGTCATCTGTGAGCCCATATGACTGGGTCTCTGGTATCAATGGTCACCTGGGAATTTATATACAAAAGATATATCCTTAGTCTTTTAAACCTGTTTTGCCTGGGTTTGCCGATTATTCTGATTGTATTCATGATAGCAGTTCTGTTTATAAATAGTTCTTTTCTAGAATATTTAGCTCCAAAAAAGTATTTAAGTTGCATTGAAAATTTTAAAATTCAGAGAAATTCCCCAAGATATCACCAACTTCTAAGGGGTAGACCTTATAAGGCTTACCAGGTAGAAGGCAGTCAGTCCCAGGTCTCAGCGCACACAGGGCTGGTGCCCAGCTACACTGTGTCTGTGTTTCTGTGGAAAGCGCTGAGAATGGGGAGATTTAGAAAGTCCTTTGGGGTCAGAAAGGGAAGAAATGGTGGGAGGGCCAAGAGAGGAGGTCTCCGTTTGAGCTAGCACAAATGAAGCAGGGAACTCGTCGGTACCAAGCCTTTGGAAGTTTCAGCAGGAGTGGTGCAAGCCATGTCCAGTGAGGGGCTGCTGAAGAAGTAGGTGGTGGGGCGGAAAGGGAGGAGGCAGAACAGGTGGCCATGAGAGGCATCCACCTGCACCAAACCATTAGCCGGGAAGTATCCAGCTTTCAGCTGAAAGAGAAAAGCCAGGAAATTTTGGAGTCTCATTCTAAACGTTGCTGATTATTGGTCAGGACTCCACTCAGCTCATGCGTGTCCATGCCTGGGAAAACACCTGTGATTTCTGTTTCAGCTTTTCTACTCAAAGTTCACGGAGTACCTGGAGGATTTCCACATCTGGCTCTCCCTGTACAGCCATCCCCCCTCCAGCAACTACCTACACACACAGCGACTTGCAGTGTCCTTCTGCCTCCTGTGTGTCTACTCCTGCCTCGCTGCCCTGGTCACTGTGGGAGGCCATGAACAGGTGGGAGGCAGCAGATTTTCCCACAGTAACTTCTAAATCTCAGGCATAGTTTGTCCTTCTTTTAACATGGAAACTCTGAGTTTCTGGAAAAGGTCTTAAGCTAGGGGGAACAATCTAGCATCGTGCTGAGTGGGTTAGCAAGTAATGGGACCAGAATCGGAGCTGGCAGGGTCCGCAAGTCCTCAAGAGATTGCTGCCCTGTGAGAATTCACATCCTGGGTTCCATACAATGTGACATTCAGGGCGAGGGGAAAGAAGCTAATCTTTTTGAAGATTTATTTTTATCATTTTTTTTATTATGTGTACATGTTTTAAAAAGAGGGAAGGAGAGGGTCCCCTTAGAGTCCAGAGGAGGGGTCAGACCTCTCATGGCCGAGGTGACAGGTTGTTTGTGAGCTGTCTCATGTGGGTGCTAAGAAACAAAGTAGGATCCTCTGTAAGAACAATGCATGTTCTTAACCATCGAGCCATCTCTCCAGACCAAGATCGTTTTCTATGATAATTTCAGGATCATTCATGGGGCCAGCCAGCCTCTGGGTTCACATGGTCCTCGAGCTGGAGGATACACTGATAGTAGCTGTGTCATGACTGAGGTCAGTCATCTGTCACAGGACAAATGTGGCAGCAGATATGATCACACTTAAAGATGTGCAGAATTTTCAAATACACTGTGTTGGTAGAACTTGCGACAATAAACAAAAGATGACAAGGAACGTCATCAAGTGGCAAAGAGAGACCAGCTGTGCTCTCTGGGGAGCTGGGCTCCCTGGGAACCTCCAGTGGTCTGATCCAGGATGCCAACTCGTCCTCTGCTGGGGGCATACCGAAGCTCTTGGCACCTTATTGTGGGACTGTAGTGAGGACTTAGTCAGCTGAGCACGGGTCTTGTGGGTGCCCGGCAAGCATCTGTTTGGTTCACAAGGATGTGTCTACCAGGAAAAGCGCATTTTGTCTTGTTCAACCCCTGGGGTGGAGGCAAGGCTTCTGGGAGAAGGGGCTTTAACTAGAACAGGAGCCCACATGGAAACCATTTGGAATTCTGTGTCTTTGGGGTTGGGCTCAAGGGAATTCATTGCCATGTCGTTGAATGTTGCAGCGCCCCCTGGATGTGGGTCCTACTCTTATCACTCTGGAATCCTTCGGTCTGAGTCTCCTGTGCACCTTCCTGGCCTGCCCAGCTGCACAGCTCTTATCACTGCTCTTCAGGGTCAGCCAGGTGTGTGGCCCTGTGCCCCTGGGGAGACCCCCCCCCCCCCGTGTAGCTAGAGTTTTCCCGCCTTGCCCACAGTCAGGACAAATCTCTGTCACCCGCCAGTCCCACAGCCACTCAGACCCAACCAAGTAAACACAGAGACTTATATTGTTTACAAACTGTATGGCCGTGGCAGGCTTCTTGCTAACTGTTCTTACAGCTTAAATTAATCCA